GCTTCGCCTCGGTCAACAATTACATGTAATCTGAGACATTTCTTATTTTCCTGCCCCAGGTAAGAAAAATACTATTTTCTCAGTGAGGGCACGGCTTTTCATTCTCTGAAACTGAAATAGTGACCATTGACTATTTCGTAGTGCAATGTATACCAAACGGTATTCTTCGCACTACCAAATAGTGAATACCGCTCATTAAATGATGCGGGAAAGTATAAAATTTAACATTAATCTTGTCAACATTTTAATCTTGTCTCGATGTATTCACATTGTGTTTATTAACGATAATTAGAAAACTCTAGATTTAGATCCATAATCAAACGATGAGAACTATTTTATAAACGTATATTAATACAAATTTATTAGTAATATTTGCAGTTACAAAACTTTTATAATCCATGAAATGTTGAGCTATGACAAATAAATATGACAGATGTAAGGTTATAATCGACGTTCAGTTCATAAAACAAGAGAGCGCATGAATATATTATAAATTAATTTATTTTTTCAAATAAATGCGACTTATAATTTTTAATGAGATATTTTTAAGTCCAAAAAATTATGGCACCATCTTAGTCGACTTTTGGCCTTCGAACATTTAGAGTGAAAATTGTAGATCAAAAACAGTATAAGATTTCATATTGAATTTGAAAACAATATATTAAGTCCATCTACAAATTTACTAGACTAAAAACCGATCAAACTTTTAAAACTTTTTAGTTTCATTAGATTAGAAACAGCATAAAATATTCATAGCTGCTCAATTATTTTACTAAAAAGTTATTTAGACTTAAAACAGATCAAAAATAATGTGAATAGTAGATCAAATACAGATGAAAATGTTTTTAAAAGTTCAAATACAGATCAATAAGTTCAAATGCAGATCATTTAGCTTAAAATCAGTTCAAATTTTTCGACCCGGGCAGCGATTAAAATTGTGGTTTTTATTGATTACTAATTACTTCAGATGTATACTTGTTAATTTGGTGTTTTTATGATAATACTTAAAATACATAGATGTGTTTACGGTTCTCGTAGTTGTTGGATTCACCATGAAATCTACTTCTATTTCGGCTGCCGAATGGTCTTTTTTTTCTCAATTCCTAAAAATCCTAATTTATATCCAAAATATTGAACAGACAAAAAAAATGTTGATAGAATTTTCAGAAAAAGTTTTTCGGTCCGATTTTTCTCAGCGTACATATAAAAAATAATACGACTTGTAAATGGAGGGTCAGTAGATTCTTCAATTCCACATAATATCCAATAGTTGTCTGGAGGTAGCAAACTGACCTGCTGATAAGATAACTTAAAAAAACTGTCGAAATTCAGGACATCTCACACATAAGTTCCCGTTATATACGAGTTTCGACAGGAAATGTGATGATGCTATCAAATAAACACGGCAATTCATACCGAATAAACAATATTTCTCTTTGTTCAATTTCTTGTCTACATTTTTCGGATCGCATTTACTATATGTACACCTTTTATATCTATCAATCATAAATATATATCATCCACGATATTATTTGATGTGGGATCAATTGTACCTATCATAATCTCTAAAATAAAAAAATAAAAAATGTATTCATATTTTTATCAATTTGTTCATTTTTAATTTTTAAGAATTATATTTGTTAAAAAATTTGGAAGAAAAAATCAAACTTTGAATCCTCAAAAAATTAAAAAATTTCTTATTTGAAAGTGTAAATTTCGGTTAAATCGCCGGTACAAAAGCCTACAATAGGTATAATGCAGAGAGTAGTTAAAGTTTAGACGACTGTGGGATATAAAACAATGCAACAATCACCTTGTTCGTCTTCCCCGCGTAGGCCGGAAATCAACAGAGGTGGACAATAGCGACGCCAGTGCTTGACTAACGCTCTCTTCCTCCCTTTCTCTATTCTATTACATTCACCACTCTAGTGATGCGATGATTATTGTACCAAGCATCAAGTGTTTTAGCTACACTGCAATTTGTCAAATTAAGCCGAAAAACAAAAATAAAAGATTAAATGATTTCAAGAAAGAATTATTAGATTTGATCATAGATGATTTAGATCCAAATATTAGCACACAGAAAAAAAAATTAACTTGAATCAAGTGAAAAATTCTTGAACCAAGAAAATAATTTTGAAAAATTTCATTGTCTTGAATCAAGACAAAAAATTCTTGAATCCAGTAAAATTTACTTAAACCAAGAAAGATTTCTTAGTTTAAACATTTTTCTACTTAATTAAATCAAGAAGACGAAGTTTTTCAAAATTATTTACTTGATTCAAGTTAATTTTTTTTTCTGTCCAGAATCGACCATATATATTTTTTTTTCGCAATGGAGTGATTCCGGAGTGAATATGAATTATTATATTCTAAAAACAGCCGAGTATAGAATTTTTAGACCAAAATAAATATCAATTAGCTGAAACAAGTTTTACATCGACGTTCAAATTAGCGAATTGTCTAATTCCATATTTTTTAGGAGGTGATTTTTTTAAATTTTCAGATGGTAATTTCCAAAAAAAAATCTATTTGAGTGACCTGGATGTTGAATATATTTTAGGAAAAGAAAAAATTTTAAATTTACTTAATTGTTTATCATATAAATAAATAAATAAATGAAGGAATTTTTAAAATAGAAATAGACAATTCGCTAATTTGAACGTCAATATGCCAAATTACTACTTAATACTCCGAATAATTAATGTCAAGTTTACGTTTGTAAATATATTTACAATATAATATATTATATTATAATATTTTATTTTATAATATATTAATTACACTTTTCGAAAAATTTGACTTTTTTGAAACATTGAACAAAATTTTATAGAAATTATTTTATTTTTGAGTCTTTTCGATAAATCTTTACGTAAGATGTGAAAAATAATAAATTATCAAAATTTGTACAATATATAATAATAATTAAATCCAACAATTTTTTCTCACATTGGTAAAATTTCATGAAAATATTTTTTTCTAAAATGAAAAATCCGAACTTAAAGAAAAACACAAAAGAATGTTTGGATTGAAAAAACCCGTATTAGTGACTATTTATTGAAAGATATTTTAAGAAATACATTAACATAATATAAAAATTTAATCAAGGGTTGATAACAAAAATAAAAATTTTATTGCAAGAATGATATCATAATATTTAAATATAATAGTATATTCTTTGGCTGATATATATAAGATAAGAGAGAAAAAAGTAAGAAAAAAATAGAATATAGAAGTAAAACTTCCTTTCATTCATTCATTCATATTCCTTTTTATTTTTATCATTTTCCCTTTCTTTCTTTCGTTCATTCTCTCACTTCGGAATCTCTTTCTTTATTTTATATTTTTTGCTCGATTTTCCATCCTGCTGTTATCTTAGTACGACGAAGGCGTGATTGCCTTTATAGGGGAAGAAAGGGTCTTTTTGCTGGTGCGATAATGTCCTTGTGCGGTGTGCCACACTATGCCAGCCTCTAACCATACCTCCGTCATGACTCTTTTGGCTCTGCTTATCAGAAATAAAACTCACTCTCGTTGCGGCTGCGGGTTCCAAGATGTTCTCAAAGATCAAATGAACAAAAAAGAAAGAAAAACATTGTATTTATAATTTAAATTTAAATTTGCCGAAACTCATAAATCCATTTTTTGGTTAAAAAAAAATTTTTATTATGTACATTGTTTTTAATACACTTTTGATGTAACAATAAATTATTTGTAATTAAATCAATTTTTTTTTTTCAACAAAATTCTTATTCTCATATAATACTCTTTTTGTTCTAGCGGTTTTAATTTTTGTGCGATTTATAGTTCATATATCAGTGCGTATAGTTTGTGAAAAAATTATACACTTTTTTTTTAATTATTTTTGTTATATATTATGTATATACATTTAATTTTTAAAAGAAGATTTTTGTAATATATGCTCAAAATATACAACATGCTTTGACGATGATGTCACAGACATTTTAATACATTAGATTTTGGTGAGTGACGCCATCTTCTGAAAACATTTTTATTGGATAGCTCATTAGATTTTTCTTTTTTTGAGCGTTACTTACAAAAATTAGGGAAGAAATGTTGCAATTTTTAAACTTGCGTGACGAAGTTTTAAATTCAATTTGAAACGTTAACAAATTATGTGATCAAATATGGTCTATGTGTTCTACAGATCATAAATGTTCTATATGATCATGATCACATATGACCCTACATGTTTTAAATAATCATAATCAGACATATTATATACGATCATAATTATATATAACCGTACATGTTACACATTATCATGATCATGGTCACATATGATCATAATTATTCTATATGATCATGGCTAGTTATTTATAAATTTTCACCAAAATCATACAGTCATATGTGGTCATATTCATTTATCATATGTAATCATTGATCATAGTAATATGTGTGACCACATATAAGTAACTATAATCTTTTATAATAATACTTGACTCTATATAATCATGCATGACACTATAAACGGAAAAACGTGATTTATTTTTAAAATAAATGAATCCCATAATCACGTAAACCAATTTAAAAAATCCAAAGAAGCATGTAATGACCAAACCATAATTAAATCTTACCTCAATTGCAACACCCCTTCTTTACCAATGACTTATCTCACTAATTACATAAATTTTCGCATGATAGTTACACATACAACGCAGCACCTCTGTTAATGCTACAAAAGCCTCTATATAAAAACAAATTACCAAAATTCTAACAACAAAAACAAAACCAACCAATTATTTACATCCAAATTCATTAAACATCCCATCTTTGCTTTATTGTGCAAAGTCTTTTCATTAAAAACCAAATAGCACAACACAAATGATGCTTATCGTTCATCATCGACATCGTTCCTAAAAACATTGCCCGGCATCGTTGACGGAAAATTCCCCGGTGACGCAATGGATGACGGGGAAGGGGCGGTAGCAACAGATGTACGGTTAATTGGTGTAATTAGAGGATCAATTCTCCACCAATCAGGGGGTGTCCAATTGGACACCAGGTTCCCCCGGAAATTTAAATCTGGGAGAACCGGAAGCGGTCTTCAAATAACATGATTGCGCTGGATTGTAGAGTTCGAATTAGAGGTTAAATTTTTAACTGAAAACAAATTATTGCTATCAGACGCGTTATTTACACTGCTGGTGCTACTGCTGCTGCTCGTGGAAAACGGTTTGTGGTCGAATTCATTTTTGCTATCAGCTATCACTCCAGTATCATTGCAATCCTTCACTTTTTCGTCTGTTTTTGCAAACCCTTCATTTCCATCTACATTTATGTCGTCATCAATTTTCATTGGACTGTTGATCAGATCAATGGAATCCTCGTTGCTCTTGTTGTTGTCGTTGAAAGTCGGCAAGTACACCCGTTTGCTATCTTTAGCCACCTGGTCATCAGCATTGGGTGAAGAACAATTGCAATTCGCCTGCAAGCACGTGGTTGTAGGCGTTGTTGGAGATCCTGGCAAGTTCGGCCATGAATTCACCGCGTGGTGACTCGCGTATAGAGTTCCGCTGTGATAAATAGCTTGGAATGTCAGATCAGCAGCCAGTTTGTTCCCGTTGTTGATGCTATCGCTTAATTTCGCAGACGGCTGGATTGGGTACAAGGAGTACGGAAATGAAGGGAAGAACCGGGGAATTTTCAAATCGTCGTGGTTCAGAAGCGAGTGGTGGTGATGTTGGTGATGGGAACTTGGTAGTCCGGCTGATAATGGCGGCAAAAGACCCCGAGACAGTCCGTTGATGTCGCTTGATGATATTAGTGGCGACAATGTGAACCCGAATTTGTTTTCTTTCTTCATCAGGGATTTGGGCTTCCTTCGCGGTCGATATTTGTAGTCAGGGTGCTCTTTCATGTGCAGAGTTCTGGAATCAAAGAAATTTTTTTAAAGTGTTTTTATTCGAAAATTTTTTTCTTTCTTTCTACGAAAAGATTTGTGCTGAAGCTATTGCGTATCAAACTTTTTTTAATGGATCACGATCAATGCTTTGGGAATTCTATGAAATGTTGATCGCAATTTAAGAAAATTTACAATCCTATTAGTTAACTCCTTATAACTACGGAAAAAATATATTTTTATATATACGGACAGAAATTTATTTTAAAATCTATTTTTTTGGTTTTTTTCGGTTCAAGACTTTCCCTCTTGAATCAAATTCATTTTTTGTCAGTGTACTGTTTATCGATGGAATATTTTATCATCAAAAAAATGTTCTTATTATAAATTTTATAGGTTTTATATTTTTAAGAAACTAGATTGTAATTTTTAATAAAATAAAATGTTTAAGCAATATTTTTTATTTAAATTATTTTTTAACTTATTTTATTTTACAAAAATTAGGAAAACGGTTGACCCTAAAGACCATCCCTTCAACTTCCCGCTAATTCCATACCTAAGCGCTCAGCATTGCACTTATATTGTTTTTGAGCTCTCCGAGCTCAAAAAAATAGCTATTCTATGATTTTGAGCTCTTCGAACTCTAAAGTCTGATAGAAGTTTCATAGAATACTATTTTTTGAATTTTCAAACCGCAATTACTTTTGAATAGATGAACCGATTTTCTTGCGGCTTACAGCATTCAACGCAGTTTTTTGAGCTCTTTGGAAGATTTTAGAGCTCAAACTGGTTAGACTAAAAATTTCATAGAAATTCTGAGAAAAACATTTGTTTTAATTTTTTTCGATAACGATATCTCACGAACGAAACAACCGATTTTGACCGGACCGGCGACGATCGACGTGGTTTTTTTATGTTAAGAGTTGATTCGTTTTTGGAATCGGTCCGTAAGGCCATTTGAAAGTTATTTTAAAAAAACCACATTTGAAAAAAATTTTTTTTTTAGTTTTTTTCGGATTTTTCGGAATCAACCCGTTTAAGCAGTTTACACACACATACATACATACAGACATACGGACATCATCGCGGAAACATTCGAGGAAGCTTTCTAGGACCTCAAAACGTCAACATCTGTTGAAAACTCGATATTCGAAAAACGGGGTAGAACCAATAACTTCCTAACTTTTGAGAATTTTCAATTTTCTTCGCGGGAAGTTAATGAATGTCGAATAATAACTAATGGTAATAAAAAATCATAAATAATACTAAAGTACATTTTACGACGATTATTTGACTAATTCCTAACTGTAAAAAATTCAATTAGAATGATAATAGTATAAAATTTTGTTAAAATTAACTATAATTGAGCAACAACTGATCACTGACATGTGTAATTTTTTAAATAACTGATAAGTCAACAACGATTGCAGTCCCGCCTCAAAGCCGGTGGACAGTACCTTTACTTAAATTAGTTTTTAATCGTGACTCCGGTAAATTTTTTAGTAGTTTCAGTAAAAAGAATTAATTTTATTGTAATTTTCAATCTTAAAGTAGTAAAAAGTAGTTATTCATCTTATCAATTTTTCCCATTTATTATTTTTTACCACCACATTAAAGAATTAACCCCCCCCCCTTCCACACATATACACAATAAAAATATTAAAAACTACCCAGAACTTTAAAGTGTAAATATTAATAAAATCTCAATTTTAAAAAATGAGATTGAAATCAATACTTTTCAATTTTTTTGTTAATTATCTCAGCAAGAAGTTAAAAATAATTTGTCCTAAAAAAAATCAATTAAATAATTTCGATACCAATAACAAAACCAATCTCTTTTGAAAAACAAATATTAGTATTCAACTACAAAATGTGATTCTATTTAGCAAAAGGTAATTGAACTAATATTCCATTAGCGGAGGTCACTCCAACCAAAAGCATTCCAACTAAAAACAAAAGTTCCATTAAATTTTTACCATATTCTTGGCACTTACACGAAAATGAATTACTACTAACTCATGATTTCCTTTCATTTTTATTAAAAAATCTTCTTTGTTCCAAAAATAATTTCAACCAGTTCAATTGATACGGATCCAACTTTTTTCAAATTTTCTATCCTAAAAACCTAACTTCGCACAAAAAAGCGACTGCACCACAAGATAGCTCTCTTTCTGACTAGCAATTACTCAATATTAACAGCGTAATAATCTTAGTAAAAAAAGCATGAATACCTTGAGCGTGTGTAAAACAAGAAAGAGAAAGAAAATAATCGGAACGGACAAGAGCGTGCGATAGGAAGGGAGCGGGTGCAAATCCTTTTAAATCCACACAATTGCGACAATAGAGCTTTATTTGTTATCTCGAGGGCCACATTGTGAGTTGCCGTGAACGAACGGACAGATTACGTTAAGCCAGTGACAGCGTGGCTTCAACGGAACGCCGTCGTTTTAAACTCCCTTATATCTATATATCTATAACTGTAACATTCATGGCAACGACTTATCATCCTGTTTTTTATTTTACGACCTTCCTTCCCATAAAAGTTGATTTTTCATAATTCACTAATACCCCCAAGAACTAACTGGCAATTCTTTTAAGACTCAATCTAAATCAGCGTAATCCACCGAAACCCAATTCTAACAGCTAAAATAATCTACGATAATTACCTCAATCTCTTAGCTTCATCAATGAAGGGCCTTTTTTCAGATTCACTGAGTTGCTTCCATTCAGCACCCAATCGCTTGGATATTTCAGAATTGTGCATTTTGGGATTTTCCTGGGCCATTTTTCTTCTTTGTCCGCGAGACCAAACCATGAAAGCGTTCATGGGCCGCTTTATGTGTTCATTGTTTATTGTTTTGGTAGACATGATTGATGACAACTGACAGCAAATTAGGATTACAACTTACCAGCACTATCAACATTATTTAAATCCACGCACTTGATCACATCATTAGCATCCATTTGATCTGCCATCAAACAATGATCATCACTTAACCAATCAACATCAAAGCACCAATTAAAAACAACTGATAATTGAATTGAAATGTTGGAGCACCAAGGTGTCCTGGCAAAGCGACAAGCAAGAGTGTTACTGCTCACATTGGCATGACTCAACACTCAATGTCTGGTATCCAAGTGTGAGGGGAAAATGTTGAGGAAAAGGAGTTGAGGGTGAGTTCAAAAGGCCAATCAGGGTTTGCTATTCCTTCCCACCACCTGGGATTCCCTGTTCTGGGACACTATTGGCTCGCTACCAAGACATGGCGCCGGGATATTACGGCTGCGAAGTACCAGGTTGTGCAACAGGTGAGGGTTTATCAATTCGCTGGTGTGCTATTGTCAGTGTTCTCTACTACCACACTCAAGGGTTTCTTTATTGCTAAGTATCAAAAGAGGGAGTCTTTAGATCATGGCCATGATCAGAAATAGCAAATCGATTGTTTGTTCTGATAAGCTCTTTTTTGGTTTAGTTCTTCGGTTCTTGGAAGTTGAGATTGTCTATGGAGATAATTTTTTGTTTCGAAAAAAAATAAGTTTTTTTTTTTTTATAGCTTTCATAAAAAAAATTTTGAAATAAATTATTTGAAATTGTGAAATTTGGATCTTAAAATTTAAAATTTTTGGTTAAAAACGAATATTAATAAATAATTAAATTTTCATCTCGAATGATTTTTTTTGTGAATTTTTTAAATACTCAAATAATTTTTTTAAAAGATTAAGACTAAATTTCACTTGAATTTATTGAAATTTCACTTAAAAAAAAAAAAATTTGATTGGTTTTAATAGTAAAGGTAAAAATTGACTACTTAAAATACCTTTTAGCGTTAAAACTATGATAGGAATGTTAAGTCATTCAAATTTGAATACTTTTCGCGCTTCATTAGCTTTTATGAAAGAACAGCAGGGGCAGTTAGAGGTATTTACAGGCTTATTAACAATGGCTACGCTTATCGCAGCTGTAAGGTTCCACTGTCTATCTATTTTCACGGTGTAATCTTTTATTTATTTTATTACAATGCAAACAATCAATATTGCAATGTTCAACAAACATCAGCTATGTTATTTTATAACATTCAACAATTCAAGGTATTGTATGTTGCGCAATAATTTTATTTCTTTAATCTTCGACAGCATTAATGTTAAAATTTAATTTTGAGATTAACTCAAAGGATTCGCGGAATGAACTTTGATTAGATTTAAAAATTGTTTTTAGAATACAAATTAGAAACAAAAAAAATTAACTTAATGCAGACAAAAATTTGATGAATTTGATCTAAACTGAAAACAATTTCTCAAATTAAAAACTTTTTTCTGAATTCAAAATTTTCAATTTATTTAAGTATACAATTTTAATTTAAAAAAATTGAAAAGTTGTTGGTTTGGGTAGAACTCAAAAAATCAAATTTTAATCTAATTATGACGTTTTGAGGCTCTAGATAAAGTAATTCTGAATGTGTTCTAAAAAGTTGGAAATTTCAATCCCGAGTAAAAATGAAATTGTTATTTTTTACGAAAAAATAATAAATTTCGTTCGACCGCCGCACCATACCACCGTACCATACCGCTGCACCACCGCTGCACTACCGCCGTTTTTGGCGAACTATTAAAGTCTCGAACATTGCCAACTGCGCTACAATCTGTAGTTAACTAAACAAATTTAGTTTAGCTATTTGAATGTGATCAACAAACATTTTATTTCAATGTATACCACCATACAGCGGAAATTTATTATTTTTTCGTAATAATTTCATTCTTACTCGGGATAAAAAATAATTTACAACAAAATATCACAGCTGTGGTGCAGCGAATAGAAATTTCCTTACTTGTCACGGCGCTGGTGCGGCGGTAGTGCGGTGAATAGATAAATTCTTTACTTGTCACGGCACTTATAAAATAATAAAAATTGTCACGGCTGTAGTGCAGCGGTAGTGCGGCGCTTAAAAAGCCGTGCAGCAGTGTTGCGGCGGAATTCTGTTTTTACTCAATTTTCCATTTGATCAACTTGGATGTTTTTTAAAAGGTTACACGGGATATTTTGTCCGGGGATATTAACGCGTGTCACCTTTTTAAAATATCGAATTTTGTAGCTCATTAACGGATTATCATACGAATGCAACCAGAATACATTCTCATAAAGAATAAAATGCTCTACAAAAAAGGTTACAGGTAATTTTTTGATAAATTTGTTCCTTTAAAAGTTATTTGGGATCAAAGTTATACTTATCGAAAAATGTGAAGTTTTTCACGTTTTTGACAAATTTACCATAGTAGTTAACTTTACTAAGTAATCGACCTAAAACCATGTATACACTTTTAAAGTTAAAAGATCTGCGTCGAATGCCGTTTAGAAGAGCAAAATCAAACGACGCGTTCAAAAGATATCAGTTTATATATTTTATAAAATGGGCTATCTAAAACAAATTTCATATTTTTGGGCTTAAAGACTCATAAATCAATTAATTGGTAAATTTCGGAGGTCTTCAAGGTCAAATTTTGAACTTCCTGCTATGAAAATCAATGATTTTGAAAAATTGGGAAGTTATTGGTTTCACCCCGATTTTCAAAAATCCTGAATAGTATATTACACACCTAGGGAAGTAAAGTAAGAAATGTCTCAGATCACATGTAATTGTTGGCCGAGGCGAAGCCGAGATCAACAAACATGTGGTCTGAGGCTTTCTTATTTACTTCCCGTGGAGTGTATACTATTTTTTTGCTCGACGAAGGCAGAAAGGGGCAACTTCGTTTAGCGCAGCGGGCCGAAAGTTGACGCTTTCTGCCCGTCGAGCAAAAAAAGGTATTCTAGCTATTTCTGTGAGGGTGTTCTTTCGTATGTATAGATGTGTGTGTGTGTGTGTGTGTGTGTGTGTGTGTGTGTGTGTGTGTGTGTGTGTGTGTAAACTCTTCATAACTTTTGAACGGCTTGACCGATCGAAACGAGGTTGAGCGGCGTTCGAAACAGTTTTATTGTCATTAGATTCTCTGTGAGTTTGAATATTTAAAAAAAAAAGGTTTTTTTTTGGATAACTTTTCAACTAGTGTATCGATCGGTTCACCGTAAGATCATCATCAGTAAACCGCATCGAAATTAGTTCGTTCGTTCAAGAGAAATCGGTGTCGAAAGTTTTGGAAAAAAATGTTTTTTTAATATAAGTTGAAAATTTTACGTTGAATCGTTTGGTAGATAAGAAATAATCTTATTGTAATTAAAAACTGCGTCGAATGCTGCAAGCCCCATCAAAAACAATTGATTCGATCGGAAGATATCGCTATTTCAAAAAAGTATGTTTTTACAATCGCTAGATTTCAGAGCTCGAAGAGCTCGAAATAGTAAACAAGTTGTATTTTTGAGCTCAACGAGCTCAAAACTTTGGAATTGACAATTTCTCGAGAATTCTTAACGTGTACATAGCGGGAAAATCCAGAGATGGCCTACAGGGTCAACCGTTTTCCAGATTTTTTTTTATGAATGTACCAAACTAGAATAATTAGTATTTATGATCCTCGACTACAAAAAAGTATTTTGTTGAGTGAGTTTTTTTATCATTTCTATTTATCGTTTTTCACCCTCGAAAATTATATGATGATAGTAGGGGCGTGAATGTATATATCACATGGGGATGAGACGCCACGCGACCACTGATTATACCATTCATCGACGAACAGACGAAAAGGGGAGCGGGTCATAAACGTCCGACACCCCGTTCTCTGTAACAAAATGCTTCCACTCAACACTACTTCAATAAACTCTTTACTATTCTCAACAGTCAATATATACAATTTCGTAGTCCTTAAATCTTACATCCCCAAAATTTTTAAATTGTAAATTTTTAATTAAAAAATTTTTATTTTTTTCGTTAGCCAGTGCCGATGTTTTTTTTTGTTGTATATTCATTATCAATACGCGACATCGATGGAATGAAAAAGCCCAATCAATTTGTAGTTGCGCATCTAATTAGCGTAATTAGACGGGTATGGGTTCTGATTAAAAGTATCACCAACGGAACAGAGTAAGAAAAAAGGAAAATTATAAATAAAAGATTTTTTGATCGGAGAGAATGATATTCCGAGCACACACTTCGTGACTGTTGATGTATTCACAGTGTGTAACCCAACGGAACTGTATAAAATACTACCCCCCCATTTTCTGTTCACTCACCAATAACTTATTGTAGCGTATTCTATTTTGATATGATGACATGCTGTTTTGTAGTGTACGTTTATTCAAGTGAATATGGAAAATTAGTTGAATTATAGGCACAATATGCATTTATTTGTCTAGTCGAAATCGAATTTATCGCCGCTATTTTTAAATTTGTTTAAGAGTGCGAAATAATATACTGATCCATGATAGAAATTAGCTTCACTCAAAAATCAAGAGCAAGAATATTATTTTGAAAGGTTGAATTATCTTAATAGAAAAAGAAAAAAAAAAGTTGAATAACTATCTTATGGTGTGGATTTTTTAAGTCTTCATGCACTAAGAAAAAAAAAAGAGTATTCTTGTTACAAGAATTTATATTGTTGGAAATTTTCAACCTTTTTTTTCAGCTGAAGAAATCACAAGACTAAAATTTTTAAGATAAAAAATTAGGTTTATATTAATATATTTAAACGATTCTATTAGTATGATAGATTTAATATACTACAAAAGGAATAAATTTTAGTTATCAAAAATCTGAAGATTTAATTGAAATATTTGTTAATTTTCTTTAAAATTGTATTTTCTGTGTGAAAAAAATTTGATTTTCCAAAAAAAATACTACAAGAAAAATGTGATATCTTCAGGTAATAAAGAAAAATGTTGAAATTATCTAACAACAAACTTTTGTAGCAAGAGTGCTTTTTTTTCTAAATAGTAATTTTTTCTCTGTGGAGGGGTAAACATGATAACTTTTGGAAAAGTCAATTTTTATATTGA